AGGCACTACTCTACTGCGTAGCTGTCGGGCTTCCACCTGCAGTCGGGGCTGCATGTAGAGTTGGCTGCACACTTGGTTGGGCAGACGGGCTTTCTGCTGACGGACCAAATAGGTCAAAGTCCATGCCTTCCTCAGGCACCGGTAAGTCAGCTGCCGACGACACAGGCTCGGGCGCTGCCATGGCACTTCTGAGCTTCCTGAACGTTCTTCAGGAGCTCCGCTACATGAAAAACAGAGCGCACAGTACTCGGTCTTTTTCTTGAGCCAAAAAGCGAGCCGCAACTCAGCGTCTTGGACGGAAGGGTGAGTAAGAAGGGAGAGAGAGTGAGGGTGGGAAGAGTGTACCGAATATTACACATGGCATTCTTGATTGCATGTATCACTTGCATGTTTCCGTGTCTGTGTACTCAAGGTTCTAGCGTAGCAGACTAGCGTAGCAAAGTTTTTGGACTTTAGCCGTATCCGTTTAGAGCAACAGGAAGTTTGTTCTCTGAAATCAGGGGAAGATGGGTGGGATTTTGTGAGTTTTTCGTCCCGTCCACCAATCCCGATTCCAAATCTGACAAGTGAAAGAGAGTGAGTGTGTGTGTGTAGCTTCAAAAGAAGATCTTATCAAAAAAGGTTGGATTGATGACCTTTTTCAGTTTTCGGAAGTTTATTGGATTTTTTTTTTTTCATGCCCGGTGCAGTCCCCAGGTGCCCTCACAGTCGCTGCAGGTCGGTGCCCTCACAGTCGCTGCAGCCCTCCAAGCGGCCACAGTCGCTACACGTTTTTTGGACAAAGAAGAACTGCTTTTACTCTGGCACCGTGACGCTAATGCCCGCATCTAGAATGAGCGCAGTGGCCGAAGTTCTGGCCACGTGGCTGGTCTTGCGTCGTCAAAGCACGACAAGTTTCGCTTGCACATGTGACATGCAGCCGGAGTAGATCTGTATCGTTGTGGCGGCCATATGAGCTTGAATTTGGCGCCCTCGTAAGCTTAACGTTTGCAGATGAGTTGACAACTGATTGAGTTTCGTGCATCTAAGATCTTCTCCAGCTTGCAAGTTTTTACGATAAGATGTTGGAATGGAGGTGGCCCCGTTACACCTCTTAAAGAGGTAGAAAGTTGCCACAAAGACGAAGTGGTGATGCAAGCCTGCGTTGGAGGGTGAGAGCCATTCTCGAAATGGGAGATGGCTCTTGTCTCGGCGCTGGAAGGCGCACTTTAGACACTCAAGAAGTCTCGACTGCTGCTTCGTGTATGTTTTGACTAATTTTTCTGAAGATATTGGATTCTCTCTCTCGCAAAAATGGTTTGATTGCCGTGAAGGCAATTTGCTTTGAAACCCTACATAGCTTCTTGGACTTGCCGAAAGGGGTTTGTAGAATGCAAAGAGGAGCGGGTGGGCCCCATTATTTCTTCCATATTTGATTTCTTGGAATGCATGATTGTCCGTTGCATGGAATGCTTTTAGTTCGACCCATCCCACTCTGTTTTTTGGAGCTACTGGTAAGAACCATCCTCCGAACGCGGAAGGCGCACTCTGGACACTCAAAAAGTCTCGACTGCTTCGTGAGTGTCTTCTCTGAATTATCTGAATGATATTGGATTCTCTCTTTTGTATGAATTGTTTTGATTGCCGATGGCCATTTGCTTTTGCAAACCCTACAATATGATCAGCGGCACACGTGGCTCAATCTGCAACTCCTTCAGTTGGTGCGACACCGTCGAGCGCACTCAGCTTTGTCATTTTGCGGATGTGCTTCAGGTCCCAGTGTTTGTCGACCGCCACAGTTTAAGAGTGCAGTGGGTGCCCTATCAAGTGGCCTGTTATATCCAACATCACGGCTCCAATCCGCGCCAAGTCCACTACACAGTGGTGCAATGCAGCGGCAGTCAGCATTGACTGATTGATGATGCAAAAGAGCCATTAGCCCTTACTGCCGACATGTATGAGCATGCATGTCGCAACATGTACGTGATAGTCTTGATGGACTCTCTTGCAACAGCCCATCGCAGCTCAATCGAACCTACATGTGCGATCCCGCCCTATGCCGACTCCGATCTACGTGCCGATCAACGATCTTCTTCGGGAGGAGATGGACTGGCATGCGGCTCAGTTGTTTCTCTTGGAGTACCAGCTACGGCAGATCGCGGCGGACATGGCGAGTTTGAACCAGATCTCCATGACCTTCGACATGTCTCGATGAGCTTGATGATTAACCAAGCTAATCATCCAAGGCGCCAAGGTGCGAAACCAGCTCCCGAAGAGCATTTGTGCTGCTTCCATGAGAATCCGTCCGTGCGAAGCACGTGATGTTATGTGCCCGCCAGACCCGTGAGACTCCTGGCTGCGTGTAAAGAAGAAGATGGTGTCCCGTGTGAGCCATTGGGCACCAGTGCAACACCAGAGAGCGAAGCACCAGCTGCCAGCAATACCGTCAACTCACGTGCACCTTCTTCTTCGAGCAGCAGAGCACCACTTTTGCCAGATTCCAGTGAAGTTGGACATGCGATGCCAACATTTCTTAATGTAAAATCAAAGGCTACGCCCAAGCCGAGGGCAAAGGCCAAGTATGTAACATCGCATCTGCCTAAGGAGGTGCCAGTGCATGTTACGTTCCGGAAAGGAAATGGCTTTCACTTGAAGCGTGGATGCAGCAGATTGAATGATGCTGACAACATCGATCTCATTGGCCAGATCTCGCGGCTACATCGCATGTCGCATTTGTGCGAAGTCCTATCTGTGAGATGCGAATGCCCGGAGCCCACTTGATGCTTTATGAATGCTAAATGTCCTTGTGATGCTATCTTGATATGAGACTTTGAGGCAAACAAATCAATGACATCCGATATGCAGGCCATTTTGGCCATTCCGATCATGCAGCTCTTTTGTGACCTGCAATGCAGCGTGCATTCTTGATGAATGCACCCGCATCTTCTTGTAAACCAATTTGATACAACTTTGTGACAACGACCCATTTGGCGTTCTTGAATAATGTTCATGATGACTTCTTGAACTTGTGTGGTCCGCTTCCTTCGGTGAAGCAGCCGTAGGACAGCATACTGTAGTTGTAACTTAGTTGTACAGACAAACGCAGTTGAACGATCAGTTAGTACACTGGTCGTGCGACACGAGCCCGGACTGCGATTCGCAGCGCGCTCAACTGGACAAGAGACTTCTGGGCCACTTCTGGGCAGGTTGTGTGAGGCATCGTTCAGTCTTTGTGTACTCATTTCAATGGAAAATCCGTCCTCGTGATGTAGGCGAACTTGGCGGGGTGACTGAAATTTCACGTTCACCCTCGGACTGTTTTACATGGTGAAACCATTTTGCATGCATGGAAGTTTGACCCAACTTCCGTTTGTCTTGTGTTCTGAAGTCCATGCTACATGATGTGCAGGTGTTTGAAGTTCGAGGAAAATTTTCAACAGGAGCGAGAGGATGATCCCACCATGATCGAACAGCAGACGGTGATGTGGAACTTAGTAGGCCCCACTCAACAGAGGCAAAAACCATCGGATGTAAAAATCCAGGCAAGATCCGTGCACTGGTGGAAGAATGGTATGGACAAGAAATTTATCATGAAGCAGAAAGGAGTGAGGCAAAGTTTCACCAAGAAAGGCAGGTGCATCCAGCCATAGGAATGGTAGGTTAAGTTCCAAGTTTCACAAAAGATGCTGTTTCTGCCAGCCCATGCCGATGTAAAGCGCAACGGTATGTCGTTGCATTGGCAAAATGTGTGAGGTATGCATTCCTGCACCCGATGCGCGTCCGCAAGCACACGACAGCACCCCAAATCGGCGGATGGCTAGGCGGGTATGTTGCATCAATCGTTTCAACCCGCACGTCTGAGAAGAATATCTCGGCAGTGGGCCGGGAGATGCCATGCACGAAGGAAGCTTTTCTTCGGTACAGCCCGCAGACCTCGAGGCAGGGTTTTAAGTTTGGTAAATGGGAATGAGTCCACGCCTTTGTTAGCTTAGGGTTACGGGTAATGAAGTAATGTTTAGCAGAGCATGGTATGCATGTCATGACCGCCAAGCGCCGTTGGCCCAAAGAGTGAAACGACCGTGTTTGCTTAGGGTCCCACTGTTTCATTATCTTGCAATTTGTGCTACGCAGACCACTGGGTGCCCACTGTGAAGTCTCGTTTTCCTGGTTTGTGAGAACCATCTTCATCCTCCGCATGGAGGATGGAATTAAAGGGGTGTGTTAGAAGGTGATTGTGAGTGCATGTGAGCGGTGTGTTGCAACAAGCAATGCTGACGCATGAATGCGATGACTGCAGCCTTTCAAACGAGTGATGCATTTTCGTGTTCCACACACACGTCCGCATGATCTAACTGCACGACTCCAGCCACAAGGTGCATGAGTAGTTGAACGCAACATTACCCAGCCATCACTTTCGGAATATATCAAAAAAATGCAACCGTAGCTGACACAATCATGGAGTTGTCAAGACCAAGCAAGATAGAGTTGGCAAGACTTGTTCGACATATGTCTGGGCAAGCCATGGCGTGACAGTTCGATACGGCGCGGCGTGACCGCAAGGGCCGCGGTACGTGATTTGGAAAACGTTTTTTTGCTAATGTGTTGTGGTTTCGACTCATGCTTGATCGCCTGCTACACATGCTCTTATTCTTGTTCAGCGCATATTAGCATTACAGGAGTGTCATGTGCCATCGAGAAAGAATGTTAGAAATTCGATGCTCAGCGTTCAGGTCGCGATCGGAGCACGGCGGCATGCCATCTTCGAGTCCGCCCAAGGCCTTGTGAGTGTCCGCAACGGTGGGGGGATGCATGCGCAGTGGTGTGTTCAATGAGCAATCGTTTGTTTGCTTGCAGAGAACCGGTGCTCGTGCAGGGATGATGCTACCCATGCAAGATATTGGCAGTGCAACCGTCAACAGCCTTGAACCGAAGCTGTTGAACTTTGTGCCACGATGCTCAGCATTCCAGCGAGGCGGCCGCAGGGGCAGCTGGCCGGAGCCCTGAAATCCTGAGTGTGAGTTGTTTGATCGATGTCGTCGCCACGTTTCGTTGTTTTCGTTTTAGGCTGTTGGGTGTGGACTGTGGTGTATGGCAGTGTATGGCTTGTGAAATCGTGTGGACAGGAGGACAAGGCCATGTCCCCTCCCAGCGTTGAACATGTCAACGTTGCTCATCACAAGCAGCACTGCGAGAAGCCTCCCAGCCTCTCAGCTCGAACGCATGACGATCGGTAACTCGACTCGATGCTTAAATTGAGAGGCCTGCTGGATTCCACGATGCCGTCGAACCCAGGCAGATGATTTTGTTTTCGGGCTTGTCATAAGCCGCCAAGAGCAACGTCGCAGAAGGGTGCAGTGCAGCTGCCACTACAAAGCTCGCAGGTGCCACAATGGGTTCCACCAAAGTGATCAGGCTAGCGGACAGCGTTGCAGTGCTTTTTGAGATTGAGGTTTTGGTTCTAGGGGGAATGGGCATGGTTTTCCGACTGGTTTCCGAGACATGGGTGGATCTCAGAAGGAAGCTCTGCCGTTCGTTGGATTATCTTTTGCGGGGAAAGTTGTCACCTTTCAAAATGCTGTGCTGACTCCACTAGAGCCCGCCCGAGCTTTGCAAGGCTACCTCAGCTGCAGCCCAGTGCGGAGTCTCTCCGCCGCACTTTTGATCGCTTTGAAGGTCTCGTATGTCCCGTACCCACGTACCACAATCTCGTTCAGGCATCAGCTTGTTCTTTTGTCGCCTCGATGGCCGTTTTGGACGAATCCGTCCTTGGTGTTGATCTGCGCACATGAGCGGAGATCAGCGGCAATCACGGCTCTCGAGATTCGCGCATCCGAAGGAGTGTCGAAAGCGGCATCGAACGGTCTAAGGCAACTACTAGAAGGAGCTCTCTAAGCTTGACATGCATTTGCAATGCAAGGGTGGGATCGCCGGTGCTTGGACCCCTCAGATACTGCACCTAGGTGTCACGCAGCAGTCTTGTGCTCAGGTACAGCACATTGCGTTTAGCAAAGCTACAGCCTTCGGCGAAGCTCAAATCTTGGGATTCGCGCCGCTCGGGCTTGCATGTCTCAAGGGTTGGTGTGGTGATACAGCATGCATAACGTTCCAGCCCTCCGGCAAGAGTTGACGATCAATCTTGGGTGCCATCGTCTTTCCGTTTTAAGTGTTTGGTTTTGCAGTGAGCTTGCAATTTGCCCCTGTGCAGTGCTACGCTAAGGCAGGGCAACAGGGCCTGGAACCTCGGACTTTTGCACACAGCTCGTGCCGCTACCAAATCTGTTGACTTTGGTTGAAGCGCCCGGAAGGAGTTTCCAAACCTAAGCGTTCGAAGTCGTGGCTGTTTGAGGTAAAGCTCTGGGTTGAATCAGAACCCGGATGCCGCAGCGTAGTTCGAACGTTGAGGTCAGCGCTTTCTGCGGTGCCAATGCTGCCGCTCCCCCTGTGTGACTGTGTGATCAAGATCGCACAGATAATTGCGACAGGTGCTCTCAAAGCCAGTAGAAGTTTGTGCATGTGCAGGTCAGACAACTGGTACTCGAAAGCTTGCAGTTTTCGTGCTCAAGCCTATGAGCACATGCGAAGTAAAGCGTGCGGGCGTTCCGGAAAGCCGAAGCCTTGGCTCTGAGGCCCGCAGCGCCGATGTCGGCACGAGTAGAGAGGCCATGCTGCCAGCCGCAGCTTCACGGAGCTTCGCGGAGCTTCCTGCGGGTGTTTGCCCTCTCCCTGTGAGGTCGCAGGTGCCCACCATTTCACAGCTGTCTACTCAATATATCCAGTCAAGCCGGAGCCCGCCTGCCTCTCAGGGCGTGTTGCAGGTGTTTCAGGTGCGGTCTTCAGAGGTCACTCAAATGGAGTCGGCACTTACTGTGTTGGCCCGACCTTGTGCTAAACAATTCCAAGTCCGTGGAGCCACAGCTCCAGCTTATAGCTCAGGCAGACCAGCCGATCGCTTAGCAGGCAGCGGGCTCATAGCACGGACTCAGCTGGAGAGGTTGAGCCAGGTAGAAGGCAGGAAAGCGGGCTTTCTTCCACCGGTCATGCGGAAGGACTAGATATCCAGAGAGAGAGAGAGAGAGAGAGAGTTTCAGATGTCCTCCTGTCCCTTCGCCAGTGATACAGCACCAGCAATCGGAGCACTGGTGCAGGGGTGTCCTTTCTGAGGATGTTGTGGTCTTGGCCATGAGAACTGCCCAGCAGGTCAGTTCGCCTTTTCGATTCCGAGATCTTCAACTTGGACCATGAGGACAGTGGCACAGCTGAGAGACGGTTGGGTAAGAGGGTGACGGTGTTGCCGCAGTTGTGATCCTGGAGTCCTTTTGCTTGCCTTAAACATCCGAATGCACTGATGTGACAAGGAGCTTTCCAGCTATTGCCTTCGGGGCCGCGAGGCTGGATCTTGGGCTAAGTACCCCCCAGCGCAGTGCCGATGTGAGGGATACAGACTCCAGAGTGCCAAATGAATCAAGTTGCCAAGCCATGCCTGGAAGTTCGATGCGCAAACAAACAGGGGGCGGGGAAGTTACCAGCGCAGCGACTGGCGTGCGCCATGTTCCACACATTTGGTCGTTTAACGATGTGGAAGATTGTAGACTCGAAAAGATTACTCCAAGATGTCCCGAGCCGAACTGACCCGATGTGTCCCTTGAAACCGTTAAGCCAGTGCTTGTGCCGAAAGCAGAGGCGAACCAACCGGGTGCACAGCTACCTTCATCGGGCCCACAGCGGGGTCCACGGTGTTTTCTGTGAAATGGCGACATCGCTGTTCCAGTCTCCAGCTTTAGCGCAGCAGCGGAAGGTCTCGCGGGAGTGCCGAGCGCTGCCGAGGTCCGGGACTGCCGCCCTTCAAGACGAGGCACGAAACGTGCACCTGAAGCACTAGCTGCTATTGAACTTGCACTCACAAGATGACTCTTCACAGCAAATCAAACTTGTGTCGTGCAAGACTTGTTTCGCAGCTGCAAGGAGGCGGAGCAACGCCAGGTGGAGACGGTGCCGGCCCACTTGGTCCAGATCCGGGCCATGTCCGCCCCTGAAAGGATCTGTTAGTGGCTGCAAAAGCGCGTCCTCTGTGTTCGGGCTGCAGCTGCTCAGCACTTCAAAGGTACTCGCCAACAAAGACGCAGCTTTCCGAGGTGGGTGTAGCAGTGCTGTGAGGTGAAGGGGACTGAAGCGAGCACAAAGCACGGACTCTACGGGCCGCCGGCCAAATCCGGTTTTACTCTCGAGGTCGGCTTGTGTGAAGGTTCCGTTGTTTGGCACAAAAAACACTCGGGCTCCCTGCCTGCTCGGCAGTGTGTGCAGGGTGGCTATCATCCGTAGGATGTTGCAGCTTACATGCCGGATCCAAAGGGACTGGAGACCCCCCTCGTGTTCTCGAAATCGACGTTACTCAGACTCGGCTGCAAGATTCCAAGACACACGAACACACTCAAGACTGAGACGGAGGCCTTCCAATCCGAAGCTGAGCTCTTCCTGAAACAGAGCTGCCGTGCAGGTGGAGGGGGCTGAGGACGGCGGCGACAGCCCCGCATTAGGCTCTGGTTTTACATTGAGAGATTCCCAGAAGAAGTTCTCGGGGCGCGACTGCTAGCAGAATCCCCTTGGCTCGCTTTCCGAGCCTTCACCATGTGGTTCACGGATGAGCACGACACTTTATCACAAGGACTGCACATGTGGGAACAATGTGGCCTTGCACAGGTGCCAGTGCCACGTCTCCTACAGGTGCCGAGCTGGGTGTCGAGGGCCCAGATGCAGAAGACAAGGTTTTGTGCGAGCATGGCGGCCTCCGAAAACACCGGCCCACTTGAAGTCTCGACAGCCTGAGTATCATTTGACGTTGTAAAACAAGGGGTGCCCTACGCAAACGGGAACCTCTAAGTTAAAGCGCACACTTCAGTTTTTTGTTAATTTGCACGCTTGCAAAGACGCATAACGCTAAGCGTTTGCAAATGGGCGAATCCACTTGCACTTGTCCACGCCGACCCCCCACAGGGCACGCCTCACTTGACCCACTTGGTTTAGGGAGCGGGGATCAGGGGTTGAGAGTTTAGGGCTGCTCTCCTGCTCCAGTTGCACGCTCTCTCCTTGCTTTTCTCCGCCCCCTTCTCGCCGCTCCCTCTCCTGTCTCCTTGCCTTCCTGCCTTCCGCTTTTGCCTCGGCATCGTCTGCTCGTCTCTCTTCGCCTGGTACCGTCCACCTCTTCGGCGCTGTGCCTGCTCGTCTGTCTTCCGCCCCTCTATAGCGCCTGTTAAAGGCCGCTAGTCTTCGTGCCGTTCGTGCCATCCTTTTTTTCCAGTTTTGAATTTATCTCCTCCTTCTCCCTAACTGCGGCCCCTTGTACCCCGAGACCACCTTGTGGTGCTTGGTGCTCCTTCCTTTCCCATTTGACCGGGTGTTGGTCGATTCTGACGCGCTGTATGATCATAGCCGACCCACCCCTCTCTGTTCTCCCTCACTCCCTCACGAATTTCTCGTTGGTCTGAGCCCTTCGCTTTTCCTGCTGCCTCCGGTCGTGTTTCTTGCTGGGGCTTATCTGGCTCTCGCATGTTTGCTTGCGACAGGTTGGCCTGTTGCTTTGCAAGCTCGAACTGGTGCTCTCCTGTTGCTGCTGCTGCTGCTGCTGCTGCTGCTGCTCTGGGTTGTGACATGTTTTGACCCTCGTTCCCGTCCCAGCCTGCGTGTCTAGCAGCCTGTGCGTTCGTGCTTTCTCCTCTGCGTGGCCTTGTGCAGTCTCTCCTTTGTCGGGGTGACCTTGTGCGCTATTGGCCTGGCCTGATGTGTTTCTGCTGTGTTCTCGGCATGGCCTCTGGCCGTTTCACCTTTTCTCTCGGTCCTTCTTCGCCTCTGTGCGCTATGTTGGCCTGCAAAGGCCACATAACTCTTCTCCTTCTTCGGGCCGCGTTTCTTCGGATCTTTGGAAGTTCTGCTGAGTTCCTCCTTGGCGTGGCCATTTTGTCGTTTCTCTCGATCCTTATACTGCTCTGTCCTCGGTGTGGACTTGCGCAGTCTCTCCTTCTTCGGGCCGCGGCCTTGTGCGCTATTGGTCCGTCCTGGGATGTTTTGGCTGTGTTGGCCGGTCGTGCTCCCCTTTTGCTTTGTCCTCGGCGTGGCCCTTGGCCATATCACTCTTCTCCTTCTGGGGGCCGCGCCGTTATGTGCTATTGGCCAGTCCTGCTGCCTTCCTGCTTTGTCTTCGGCGTGGCCTATAGTATATTTCTCCATCTTCGAGCCACGCCTTGCCGCGCTTTTGGCAATTTGTAAGTCCTGCTGCGTGCCTCCTTTGTCCTCGGCACGGCCACTTTGCCGTTTCTCTCGCTCTTTATACTCGGGCCGCGCCTCTGCACGCTAGTCTTTCTGTTCTCTCCTCGGCGTGACCTTGCACGGCCTCTCCATCTTCGGGCCGCGCCCTCCTGTGCTATCGGCCCGTCGTGGTGTGTTTCTGCTGTTTCTCGGCATGGCCTTTGGCCGTTTCTCCTTTCTCTCGCTCCTTTGTCCTCTCTCTCCCCTTTTGCTTTGTCCTTCGTATAACTCTTCTCCTTCTTCGGGCCAGGCCTTTATGCGCTATTGGCCAGCTGCGTTCCTGCCGTGGCTTCAGCTTGTGTTTCTTGCCGTTGCTCTTATGCTGCGTTCATCCTTTGTCCTCAGCGTGGCCGTCGGCGGTACTTATAACTTCTCCATCGGGGGCAGCTCCCATTTGCGGCTGGTCCTGCTCAAAGCGTGGGAGCTGTTTCGGCACCTGTCCCTTTGACAAGCTGCACTCGTTCTTGTCAGCAGCGCTAGCGCTGTTAGCACACTCAGTTTTCCGCTTTGTCTGCTCCATGGCATGGGTGCTACTGCCCCTCATCAAAAAAATAGTCCCGCTGCTGGGACGTGATTGAGCCGAGGTGCTTACGACTACTACTACCACTACTACT